TGGTTATGCTATGATGCAAAAACTACCTTATGATCGGTTTACCTGGTGCGATGTGAATGATGCTGATTTCATTGAAAAAGTTTTGCATACTGATGATTCAGCAAATGAAGGATATTTCTTAGAAGTTGATTTGGAATATCCACCTCATTTACATGAACTTCATAATGATTATCCATTGGCTCCTGAAAAGATGAAAATTGGTAAAGATATGTTGAGTCCCTATCAGTGTGACCTGATTGAGAAGATTGAAAACCAACAATTGAAATACATTTCTCAAGCAAAACTTATAACTTCATTCATTAAAAAAGAGAACTATGTTATTCATTATAAATCATTGAAATTTTATGTCGCAAAAGGATTAAAAATAACTAAAATACACCGAGCTATCAAGTTTCGTCAATTACCATGGTTAGCTCCGTACGTTGATTTCTGTACACAGCAAAGGAAAATGGCAAAAAATCCTGCTCAAAGTAATTTTTGGAAGTTGAATGTAAATGCATTGTACGGTAAAACTATTGAGAATACCCGAAATCATTTGCAGGTGATGGTTGCTGAAAATGAACCACAAGCTAATTTCCAATTACGTAAAGAGCTTTGTGAAAGATTTATCATTTTGAATGAAGATTTAGCATTGATTCAAGTTGCAAGATCTAAGGTTCGCATGGATAAGCCGATATCTGTTGGTTTTACAATCCTTGAGCTTGCAAAGCTGAAAATGTATGAACTACATTATGATGCCTTCAAAGAAAGTTTTGGAGAAAAAATCGAGCTACTTTATACTGATACGGACTCATTGATATATCATCTTCAAACGGATAATCTCAACCAAGATCTAAAAAAAGTAAATAGTGTAATGGATTTTTCAAATTACCCTCAACAACATCAACTTTATTCAAATGTCAATGAAAAGAAAATTGGATTTCTGAAAGATGAGATGGCCGGTGAACCTATCTATGAATTTGTAGGAATAAAAGCAAAGCTGTATGCATTCAAAAGTGCTAAAGGTGAATCAAAGAGAGCTAAAGGAGTTCAAAGATGTGTTTTGGAGCGTGAAATAAGTTTCAAGGATTACATCGATTGCATCTACAATGAAAGGATCCAGAGAAAAAATGTTAAACGTTTAGCTTCACACGAGCATAATATATCTCTCATCAGCCAAACAAAAGTTTCTCTTTCTCCTTTTGATGATAAAAGATATTTGCTTGATGATAAAATCACCAGTTTTGCTTTTGGGCATTATAAAATAAATGAAGACATGTAATAATCATTTAATTTTCATTTAATTTTCATTTTAATAAATATTTTTTCATTTGCTTGAACAGAGTTTTCTCATTCTCAATATGTGCACATTTATTGAATAAAATATAAAAATCTTTCAATCTTTTAACTGAAACAACAAACAAGAGACAAAAGTAACCACATGCAACAGATAAATTATCTTGAATTTTAACCGGATTATAAGCATATCCATAGCTTACTCGCTCAATAAAATTGAGTATCAGTCCCATTGGCTCTCGTCCAAATGAATCAAAGTAATGAGCGAAACGATTAACATCCAAATATAGTGCAACCCAATGACTGCCGCGTTCGTAACTTACGTCTAAGTTTATTATAATAGCGGTATTTCTCTCCATTGTTACAGGTAACATATCAATAGGGAAAACTCCTTTGAAACAAGAAACATCTTTCAAAATATTTAGGATCTCATAAGTTGATAACATGATCTTAATAATCAATGAAAACTTTTCTATCACTGTCTATTGTAATCAGATTATCAAATTGAGCAAAAACGATAACCTTGATTGATGAGGATAGTTTCTGAGCAAATTTCAAATCCAATCTTATATGTCCTCTCTTTACAAGTGATAAGGTTCCAGTTTCAGCTCCGATTGTACCATCAGGGGTTAGATCAAAAGCAAAGAATGTTTTGTCTTTTTTAAAATCCGCATAACTTATATCAATTTGAGGTAGACCTTCATCTTGATTAAAGTATCGGTATAAACACATAAATTCACGCATGCATTGTCCTTGAGAGAAATTAGGTTGATAGGGTATACTTGGTATCATAATTCCATCCATAGATAATGCAATGTAATTCACTCCGAAATTTTTAAATTCATACGGATTTGATGCTAAGGAACCGGTAAATGCTTTATCATCAACCAAACCAACAAGTACTCTTTTAGGTAATGATCCAGAATAAACGTTTTCAATAGCAACAGAAGTTTGATCAGCAGAAATTGAATATGTTTTAACCTCATTTCGAGTAATAAAATATTTAGCAGGACCTTTTTCAAGACCCATAATAATACTTTTTTGTGCTTCCGGAAAAAGCTTTACTCGCTTGATGAATATTGAAAATTTATCAAATTTCACTTTAAAGGGTCCATCATCAGTTCTTTTCATAAGTACAAAATCTTCCAACGATTTACTGAACTTGAATCTCAGGGGCACTCCATTAATCAATAGTTTATCTTGAGTACACATAGGCAGATGAAGTCTAAAGTACATATCACAAGGTCTAGGATCCTGATCCGTGTAACCTTCTGATCCAATATCAGAATTATTTCGATGTTTAAACAGTCTATCTTCGATATATGATAGATAAGGATAAGTGTTATTTGCTTTGATAGTATTGATTGAGCCAAGAATCATGTCAATTTGATTGAAGAGTGCATTTCCAAAATTTTCAATTGTTGAAACTTTTTTATCTGCTGCGAGAGCTGTTCCATCTCCATTAGTAGTATTAACCAATAAATGAACGTATGTTGATGCTAAATCAGTGAAATCTTCACTTGCAGGAATATCAATCTCATAGCTAGTTGCTTGCTCTAAACTTGCACCCGGTCTATACTCTACTTCATAAGTAGATTCAATAGCAGTTTGTGTTGGAGGAATAGCAAAAATTTGAATTTCAGATTTGCTTACTGGTAGCGATGATGAATGAAGATACTCCATTATGAAAATATATCTTTTTTACGTCGTTTAGTAGCACTAGGCTTCTTCCTTTTTGATTTGGTTTTGCGTTTACGTTTTCTTATACCACTACCACTTTGATTCAATATATTATCCAATTGACCTATGCCAGCTTCCAAAGCAGACCTTATGCCTGCTTTGCCTTGTTTTTTAATAGATTGTCTCAAATTAGTGCCGGATAAATATTCATTACCGATGTTAACACCGGTTTTTAATGCCTGTTTTCCTAGAAATTTCAATATTGGGACTCCAAACCTCTTTAAAAGAGAGCCTATTCCATATCCTCTCTGATAAGGATGACCTTGAAAAAGAGTCAAGTCTGAAAACCCTGCACCAGCTTGGCGTTGGAAATGACTTGTGAAATCACTGTCACATGAACAATAAACTTTACGATTCATTTTGACAAAAAAAATTTTTCTTTTATTAGGTTTCATAAAATCTTATACAACTGTTTTACGTTTAAAATGTAAACTTAGGAAAACACGTCCAGATTTAAAACGGATTTGTTGACCTGTTTCATCACAAAGTAAAATACTAATGTCTTCAATGTTATTGGATCTAACAGGATAGTAATAAGGATTATTGAAAGTTACATGAGCAAGAGTATTTTTACTTTGTTTATCCAATGGTACAACTCTCAACACCCTTGCTGAGACATCACCAACAAAATGATCATCTATGAGGTCAGTATAAATAAACATCAAATGTGCATTTGGTCCGGTTTCAGGCTGATATGATGCAATAATCTCTTTTGTTCTTCCTTTTTGTAATGCTTCGTAATCCTTTTCTAACGTATTTGTGTCAAAACCAAGTATCCGTAAAAATGATTGATCTTGAAACAATGGTATGATTGGCTTTGGAGATTCAGGAATAAATCCTCCGTGCATTACACATTTTTCCTTTTCCCTATCTTTTTCTTTGATTTTACGCATTTCAAACTTTGGAGCAATGAATCCGGCTTTTTGATTAGTGGTTACACCATCATCATCATCAATAAGGTTATCTCGGTTGTAGGCAATTTTTATATGATCATTCAGCTTGCTTATTATCACTTCTATTGAATCACCTTCACTGTAGGTGAAATTTAATTTACGAAGTGGACGCAAACCTCTGTATGAGATTGAATATGTGATATTACGTTTCAAGGGCTTATGTGCTGTAGGATAAAATATTTCTTGGACAGCAACCATCCAATCACCATCCAAATGCAAAGTGCTAGGTAATCTATTGACGAATTTTGAGATTGTATTTCCAGGAAATATATCCATGCTAGCAATTGAAACAAGATCAACAAAATATTCATTGAACATTTTCAACCCAACTATTGAATTTAGCAGGATAACCGTACCACTTGACAAAATATTCAGTTTTTCGTGTATTGGGGTTTATTCTTGTTTTAATTATTTTCTCAATCTTATACAAATCAGGTCTTTGCACAGCGAAAACTTCATCATGATAAAAGACTGATGTTATTGGTTCACCATCATAATCTGTGAGTCTATATATGTACCCTTGAGGTGTTTTCTTAACTTTCACAATATTGAATATTTCTTCAGTCCAATTTTTTGTTGATCCTTTTTCAAAAATTGATTTTGCTCTTGTTATGCGAACAGTATCACCAACTTTGTAAGGTTTTTGTTTTTTCAAATTAATTGGTTGAGCTTTTCTTATGTTAACTCTTGCCCCTTCAGGATTATCCAGTGCTTCAATAGGTGACATCTTAATAGTTCTATGATAACTTGAGTTGTATCCATGAACGATATCATCCAATGCATCCATATATCTTTGACTATTTGTGTAATGTAAATATCTATAGATTCTAGATCTCAAAGTTCTATTGAATCTTTCAACAATTGCACATTTTATAACGTCATCAGTTGAAGTGAAATGGATGCTTCCATGTTGAGAAAGGAAAGATTTGAAGTTATGATTGACAAATTCTTTTCCTTGATCAGTCTGAACTTTGAGTGGTTTTCTTTTACTACTTTCAAATATTTTTTCAAAAGCTGAAATCACAGTTGATGATGATTTATCTTTTATTGGAATAGCCCATGCATATCTGGTCAAACAATCAATTACTGTTAAAATATATTTGAATCTATCATTTTCTTTAGTTAACCATGTCATATCCATCAAATCAGCTTGCCATTGTTCATCGATTTCATCAACCAATATTGGTAAACGTGGAAATTTTTTTATTCTCTTTCTAAATAAATTATATGTATCTTGCTCATTCAACCATTTTTGAACAACAGTAAACTTCAAACCAGGTACCTTTTCTTTCACTGTATTATACAATTTAATAACATTTCCAAATGACCCTGGTGATTTAGGATCAAAATAAATTGATTTTAACGCTGACGTAGATCTCTCCATGTTTCTGCACGTTTTTCTTTATACAGGTTTGTTAATTGTGGAAGTTGATCAATTATAACTTGATTCTTAATAAAATCTTTCAATTGAGGTTCATTGAAGATAATGTGTTCCAATACTCTATCTGTACCATTTGGTTTTCTTAGTGAAGCACGCGGTCTGGCTAAATGAAGGTGATTCACAATTTTTTTAATATCACTAGCATAAATTGGTTCACCCTCCTCAGTAAGTATTGCTCCAGCCTCATCAACAAGGTCATCAACATTTCTCAATGCCATTTCGAATTTATCAGGAGAAAAAGAGGGTCTAGGCGTAGATGTACTTGAGGGGAGTAATGGTAATTCAATCGGTCTGTGAATTGAAGGTGTTTGCATTGCACTTTGAATAGGTGCAAATTGCATTGGGCTTTGAATAGATGATGCAAAGGAATTTGATTGTGGAGGAGGATGAGCGGGGTTAAATAATGTTGCTCCGTGAGAATCCCATTTCATTGTTTCATTGTCTATTGATTGTTCTGATTTCATTTCTTCTTCTCCATTGTCATCATAAGCAACAGCAGGTTCATCACTCTTTTTACTGTTTACTTCTTGATATTCAAGAACATGACCCTCTCTCTCTTTCGATGGCTTAGATACCATTTTGTTGAGAAATTCAAGAAAATTACCATCTCTCCCTTGTGTTGGTTTAGTTATCATATTGTTGAGAAATTTGACTTTTGTTGATACTGGAATATTACGATTCATGATTTTTTGTGCTTTACTTAATGGTCTGTATACATTTCTCTTGTACTGATCTTCAGAAACAAGAAACATACGAGTTACAGAATTCATTTTTATGATAGTTTATCAGATACAATGTGAGCAAGTAATGAAACAGCTGGCCAAAGTAGACCTGGTAATAAACCTCCTTTCTGATTTACAATTTTCTTTTTCAAAGATAAAGATGATTTACTTGCTAACTTTCGCATTTGATTCTTATACCTTTTTAATCGGTTTTTGATTAGAGGCTTTAATTTTATTGTTCCATTCAAAATTTGTTTTGCAATATCTGAAATTACTGCATAGATACATTTTGGGCATTTTTTCAAATACTTTTTACGTTTATCATGTGATTTGCAGCCAGCTAAAACTTTCAGATGAGAATAACACTTGATTGCCTTTTTAAGAGACATAATGAAATTTTATCTTATCTTACATCATCTTTTTTTCTTATACTAAATATGCTGTGATGTAATCTTCTTCATCAACTACGTTTGTGAGAAATCTCGTTTCCATCGGCGTATCAGGTTTCAAATCAAGGAATAGATAAGAGAAAGGTTTACGTGTTGCGTCTTCATAGATAGCTTGTAACTTTTTAGTTTTCCCAGGTAGCATTTGTCTCGCAATGTTTGTGACAATGGTTTGATCACGTGGGTTTTTAAAAAGTACCAAATATTGAGCATTAAGAGTTATGTTTCGCATTTCTTTACCACGTGAAAAAAAGTTTTGTAAAATTAGAATGACAGACAGGTTACGATGATGTGACCCTTTAGTAAACATTTCACTAATTAGTTTTGAATTTCCAGCTTCTATCATCAGATCATCAATGATTATCCATTCCGGCTCTATTCCATCAAACTTTTGCATTAAATTTTCAGGAAGACCTTGAATGAAATTGACATTTTGCATCGATGAGAAAATAGGTTGATATTCACCATAAAAATAATGAATTTTTGTCGGCGCAGGTAGGCAATATTTATCTGCATTATTTATAAGTTTTTTAATCCAATAAGTTTTCCCACTACCCGTTGGACCTGAGACAATCATTGTGAATGGATGTTTCAAGTATACGAAATAAGTTTGATTAGACATGATTAGTTTTATATTTAAATCTTCTTTATTGGTATTTCTTAAACAGTTTGATTTTGATTTCTTATAATTTTATCAATGTAGTGATACAAATCTTGTACAATGTTCAATGAGCATTTGATGCTTGCACCTTTACGGGCATGAAGATAACATGGGCGTCTTCCAGATCTGATCGTACTGAAACTCGCATCATATTTGTCACCCAAATTAACAGTTGGTATTTTCAAGCTCTTTAATATCATTTCAGATTCCTTTGATATAACACCAACCATATCAGCAGGAAAAGATCGGAAAGATTTGTAGAAAAATTTAATAATGTTTGCCATTTTATCATCGTTAATTCCTCTTTTTCTCGGTTTCAATCCATGATCATTTCGCATGATTGAATGTACCTCCTCTTTTGAAAATTCACAACTACAAGTTTTTTCAAGGTTAAGATGAATGATTTGACCTTTTCCAAACATTGATACTTCAACTGGATGATAATTACCGTTTATGTAGTAACCTTGAGTATCAAAGTAAGCACAAATAGATCTAAGAGAGCACATGACTATTGGAAAAAGACTTGTGAAAAAATAATAATTATCAAGTGAAGGGATAAAGTACTATCAAGTGAAGTGATAAAGTATTATCAAGTGAAGTGATAAAGTATTATAAAGTGAAGTGAAATCAAGAAAGCAAACAAATGAGTGATTTAATCAAATTGGATCTTTATTTATACTGTAAAGCAAGAAGGGAGCTGAATACAATAATGTCACTCTCTTTAAAGTGAGTGAGAGTAGCAAGATCTACCTTGCGTGATACAATATCTGTGCTTGTGCACATATTCAAAGCAAGTAGATAACAATTATCAAGATTAGGAGTAGTTTCTCCGCTGATACCATCCAATGAGAGAAAGTCCCCTAGCATTTCATCCTTGTTGTACTTCCGGGACATGAGCCAGAGATCAATCAGCTGATTCATCGGCAGATCTTTCCCTTGAATCAGGTAGATCAAACCACGCACCATGGGAGAAACAGGTTTCCAAAAATCAGCTGATATAGCAACACCAGCGATTGCATCATCTTTTCCTTTCTTTGTTATCAGGAAACGGCCATCTGGTTGTTTGGAAATGGATACCCGATAATAGAGGTCAGCAGGTCGTCCATCAAAATAGTTCATAATATAACTGTTTACAAAGCGAAGCTCAGAAGCAGTTAGGGACACTCCATCCTTTGTGGCATATCCATAATCATGGATTCGAATATCAACACGCCGGATTTTTTGCACAAAGGTTAAACGCAAGTAAATATCCTTCTCACTGTAGAAAGTATAGGAGAACCAAGACATGATGACTGTAAGATGGTGATGATGGTCACTTTTCAAAGAAAAAATAAGCTTGAAGATGTAAAGTAAGAAAACTGAATGTCTTGATTTGAGCTTAATCGCTGCTTTTATACTTTTATTGATGCAGTGCGGGAGCAGAATTCACTCAGCGCAAGATCAATATGATGTTTTTCTTTTGCACCCGTCACTATGATAGAGCCTGTTGTATAGTAAATCAAGGTTACATCATGTAATCTGATATAAACTGCTGGATATATTTCCGGTTTATATGTTGTATCTTGATATCTTTCGATAAGAGCAGTGGTATTAAATCCATATGGTAGAAAGCTATGAGCAGTTATGTTTATCACCCTTTTGAATATAACATCTTTTTCTGGATATATCTCTTGTAATAATGATCCGGGTAATGCTACTGACTTGAATCCTGTGGCAACAACTTTACCGGAAGCAAAAACCAAGAAAACTCCACCTCCCTTTCTAATCACTTGAGCGTTGTATCTCTTTTTACGTCTTGTGTTATCTATTATCACAGTCAACTTTCCAATATCCCAAAGTGAAACAATGTTTACAACGTCATAATCAAGCGATTGTGAGATTTCCATGATCAGGGTGTAATTGGTATAAACGGTAGAAAAGTAAACAAACAAGAAGAAAGAAAATGATAAATATCAGATGTAATCTATCAATCATTTATGTTGATTGTTTAGATGAGATGTTTACATGTATAAGTCACGTGAGTAAATGACACAATAACCTCAATAACAATAGTTGATATACCTTAAAGAGAAAGACAGAGCGCGTTCCGAAAATTTGCTCGCCTTATTTTTCAACGTTATTATTAATTGAATGATATCATCAACTTATCTTATACAGTATTATGTATAAGCTTGCATGAACGTAGTACTGAAGGTTAAAAATGTTTAATTTGTTATTCTTATCAGATTAAAATGGTAGAAACTTTTCAACAGAAAAAATTCATGATAAGATCAATAGCAATGGCTTAGGTTAACTAGTCTTATCTGATGCATTTAATTGCTGTTAATGTTTGCATAAATCATTTACAGGTAATCATTAGACCAGGTTAATTGTTTTCTTATCTTATCTCATCTAATTAATGAGCTTGAAATGTTTGTTTACATATAAAAAGTTTGATCTAAATTGATAAGTTTGTTTTGGTAGAAAGTCCCCTGTAAAAACGGTGGGAACATCGTATTTTTTAACTACTCATGATTACTAAAGGTTTTATTTCTTGAACTACTCAATAAAAATTCAATGCAAAAGTTTTGAATATAGTTAAGTTATTAGTTGATCAATTTGCGAATCTGAATTTTATCAATTCTGTTATAAGTTCAATTAATAATAATTATTATGATGCTTGTGATCCGGAAATTTAGATTGAAATAAAGGCAACATAAAACATTATTAAAATGTAAATGGCATTTTGATGCTTTTCAGCCACTTATGATATCTGATTTCCTCGAATGAATATTCGGACGCACCAATGTAGATTGAATTTAAGTCACAATAAAACTTTTGATTTGGCTCCAAGCTTTCAAGGGTAAGCAGAAATGGAGCATCGACTTGTTTTTTCGCATTTTTAACACATCTGCTGGTACCTCAGAATTTTCATCTTCTTCTTCATAGATGACAAAGTCTCAAAAGATTTTCTTTGTCGTGTGGAACAACAAATGATTTGTCCGAGCAGCTAGGAATAGGCTCAGTACAACTGTTATTATCAACATGTATTATGTAATATATCAATATTTAGTCTCGTCTTCGCCGCTTTAACAGAGGCTTTTAGACTTTGGAAATCGGATTTAAAAGAAGAAACCCGATCGACAAGTGCTTTAGTTATGCCTTTTTTAACCGTTGGACGTAAACCAACTAATGCTTTTCTTTGTTGAGTTTGATCAGCACTGGCTTCAGAGTCATCCAAGTCCTTAGTAGCAATTTTTTTGACAAGACTTACTTTAAGTTGAATTTGAGCGGTTGTTAAATCTTCAGATGGTTCTGCTTCCAGCATCACCCCTTTATGCAGAACGTTATCAGCTTCTTTAAAATTACCGGCAAGCTCCAGATCCCATTCCCATTTAACGTAAAATTTGGCCAATTTTTAAAAATCTTCTTGCTGAATAACGAATCATAAATTTCCAATGGATTATTACAGCCACGAATGTACTTTAGAACTACAGCTAGGAATCGAGTATCATCCCAATATTGAATATTGTCGATAAAACGTTTTACACAATCTTTGATGGTTTCATCAATCCGACCAGCTTTGATCAGACCATCGGCATAAGATTGATCAATAAATTCAATCAGTGAAATCCAATTACTGAGTGGGTCATCCGAATCATCAATAAGAATTTTCTCTTTCAGTCCATTGCGTATTATTTGAAGATCACTAGCACCATCATTTTGACTAACAAGGCTGCGTCCTGTTGATAGTGGTTGAAAATTTTCTTATCATTATAACTGATTGTATTGATGACACTTTGATGAGTATTGATGTTATTAATGGATAAAAAGTGTTACTATTTTGTAAAAGTGAAACTTTTGATATTACTTCCGAGGATCTCGTATTTGAAACAGATTTGTCTAAATTACTTGGTTTGGAAGTCCTAACAACTTCTGTATAACTTGTTGTTCATTTTTCATTTAACTCGTTGATTCTTGTGATTCATTTTGCCGCGATTGGTAAACAGGTGACAAATGAAAAAGAAAATAAAAAAGTAATATTTTCACATCTATTGGCTGCAAATAAGCCAATCTAAATTGAATCTTCAATCTTTTGTAATCAACTTAATTGTTCAGCTACTTTGCGAATCTACATTTGTTACAGTTTACAGCAAAATGTTTCAACTTTCACTTTCAACTTCACGTACTTCACTGTATCTACTAATTGGCCTTCCTACTTTGCGAAGTAGCTCTCACTTTCAAATGAATGGCACCAAATTAAAGAGGAGGTGGTAATAAATATATTAACTTCATCAGTTATTATCTTTTTCTTAGCGACGGTAAAAACTTTACACAATGAAACCCAGCTGACAATCTCAGAATCATTCAGAAACAATTCATTACAGTTTTTGATGACTTTTTTCAATCGAAACTTCGCCAAATCCTCTTGGCCAGTGATGTTGTGAGAAACTATGTTTGAGCCTTTATCATTTTTATTTGTCAATGTAATTAATTTTCTAGTGCTCTCAATATATTATTATTGGCTAAATATAATAAATAATGTATTAACCAAAAAAGTCATAATTTTTATATCGAACCACAAAATATACTTGACGTTCTTAATTTTTGCTATGAAATGAATGTATATTTCAAACATATCAATTTGTTAATCTCTACATTTTTAATGGTCACGATACATCTGAATCATTCATAGCATATGGTGTTTTACTGCTTGAAAAAATAAACTTAATACTGTTAAACCAACTTGAAGTAGTAATTAACTAGCTGATCATTAATTCAATAAGTAAAGCTAGTCTGCTGGTTCCTTATTATCTTTCGCGCATTTTAATTTGTGAATCTTATTATGTCTGAAGACGCCGATGTTATCGAAACTTGTGAGTAATTTTTCAATATTTTAGTCGCTTCTCAAGATCGATGTCTTCCAGAGCTATTATTGTTTTTTTGTGTATTAATCTGTTTTGAAATTTATCTTTTCTCTGTTCTTGCAGGCAAACCAAGCTGTTTTCCGAAAATTATAGATGAAGAAACACAGAAAGCAATCTTTGAAGTTGATAGCATACCATGATGCAAAGATGTTGAGAATAGAGAATGAAGAGTTCTCGATCTGAATTTATTTTCTCATGAAGAGCCGTTAGATTTATAATAATGAATAAACGAGGTTCATTTTGTTTTGTTCAAGCGGAGATTGATGACGAAGATTCAAAAAAAGTGCTTTGGTGCTTTTATCAAAAAATGAAAGAAACAATAAAGAAAGTTCACTCGATAAACATAAATTAATGATAATTCTGAGGCAAAATTATTAATTTAACAATTTAATTGCATACAATTTTTAGTTTATTTTTTGCATAGAATTAAGTTTTTTATAGTTGTGTTTGAAAAGAGCGCTCTTACTCAGGTCATAAATTGTTTCGCCCAATAACCTAGTCCTTTATGAGGAACCAAAACTTTTTCGAATTTTGCCAGTTTTACTTTTGTTTTCCGTTGAAACAACTTGTTCTTCCACCATTTTCTTATTTCAAGATTCATATTCATATTGTGTGTATTTGTTTAAAATGGAGCAAGCGCATAATAATTCTGATAAAAGTAAGTTTTACTTCTATTTAATCTTGAATTTGAAGTAATCAACTCTTAACTTTCATTTCATAGGCTACATTCAAAGTAAAGATTTTTAAGTGAATATCACAACATGGTCATTGATTGGAATGATGATAAATTTTTAACAAAAGCGCTACAATTAAACATCGCAAATAATTTTTTACAATTTATCAGAAGCACAAATGTTATCTTATGGTATTCCTGCACGTGAATTCGCTAGTGTGTTGATGATGATGAGCTAAGTTCAAAGCCAAAAGAATTCACTTGAAGAAAATTTGGAGTCACCAAATGATGAAATGTTCAATATTTAAGCAGAAAAGGAGTAGAGTTGGGTTTAAATTTTATGGACTGACAAGGGAAATAACTTCATGAGAAAGAGAGTCACATGATTATATTGACTGATTGTTTGAGAAAAGTAAAAAGTATCATTCAAAAGAAATCGTTTTTCTAATGAAACAATCTAAATGAAGTGCATTTAAAATACAATGAATGAAAAAATTTATAGCGGTTTTATCTAAAAAAATGGGTTAAATTTTAGACGACATATTGTAACTTGATACAATCAGAGTTAACCACGGCATGGCAAGTAAATACGATTCTGTAGGTTAAAACTTTCACGTATAGAAACATGGTGAGATCTACAACAATAAGAATCAAAATATTGTCCAAAATTAAAATCAGCAAGAATGCCAATTTTTCGATTTTCTATGTCAATAAAATGTTCGTCATGTATCATTGGACGTATTCGACGAGGCTGAGCAAGCAGATATGAATCAAAATCTGAATTGACTATTTAGCTTGTTTATCCAAAAAAGCTCTGTTACATGTATGATGGCAATGATCAGTTCTGCATTTCATCAATTTAATCTTGATGCGTTAAAACATAATTAACGCAAGAGTAGTAAGTAGGGGATATTGATAACTTAAGGGGAGGACTTAACGCGCGCATGAAAAGTAGAAAATAAGGAGAAAAAGGGGAAAACAATAACAACAACCAATAAACATAGAAATACTTTATTAGATATATTTTTTTGGAACAAAATCATATTTTTTTAAAATTTAAAATTTATCTTTTCCATTCATTATCTCAACAGCATTTTTAATGCTGCTCATAACACAGTTACACTCGTGAGGCTTCTGCTGGTTCCAGATGCTATTTCACCACATCTAATGTTTAATTTTTTAGCTATTAATTTTTCGATAGTACCTGGGCTGATTTCAAAGGGACGAAAGGGTCGTAAATTACCATTTTATATGACTTATCGCGGTAAATAATTATCAAACGACAATGTGCACCATCATACTCAAT